GTGAGTGGCAAAAAAGACGCGCATGTGTTCACACGGACACACACGGGCACATACCCCACCCCACATGCATGCAGTCACACATCCACACTCCACACACCCCCACACCACCCGACAAACACACAAGCACGCATGAATGCATGTTCATAAACGTCAACACACACATACATACACATACATACACATACACACAGAGGCTGAAAGCTGGTGCCAGGCACTATTTCCACAACCCCCTCCCTTTTCAAATCCCACAATTAATGCATATTGGCACGGTGTGGCACTTGATACAGTTTGCTGATTGTGCCGTTCCTGTTACCATCGTTTATAAGTTTTTTTTTGTTTCTGGCCACCATTGCATTTACCTTGGTCGTCATCCGATTCTGTGTGGTGTTGGTTGACGATTGCAGTTGTGCAAGTACTATCCGCTATCGTTGCTATACGGGAAAATCTCTGGGTGCACATCCAGTGCATTTGCAGATTTGCTTGCTTCTCTTGCGACGAGCGTATAACATAGTACATTGTGCATGATACTACCGGGGCACACATGGTGTTGTTTTACAGTCCATTCGTTGGAAACTGGCACCATAACTATTTGGCCCGATATCTGAGACTTTCGACCTTCGGGGCTACGCGGGTTTTTTGAGAAAACACAAAAAACAAATTTGTTCGCAAAAAAAATCGATTCCGTCAAAGCAAAGTGCAGAGACGACAATGGCGGAAGAAAATTGAAGGCGATTTTTGTGTCAGTTGCTTATTGGGCTCACGGAGCACAGCAGCAGTAATCCCATGGACGGGGATGCATCGTTCTTTGTGGATATCCTGTCCAGCGGCGACAGCGCTTCTAGTTCTGAGAGCGCATGTCAGGCGAATCGATCGCAAGTGACACGCGGTACTTACCTGTCGGTGGCGACGATGATGACTTGGCCTGGATGAGTATGATCAAGGCCAACCACAGTCTGCCTCAGCGATAGCTGCTATAGCTCCAGGCAAGGAAAACCAGGTGGATTCCTGAGGGTACGCCGCTTGCAAGGTCACTGGGCGCCCTTGCGCGAGTGGCAGAACTGTTTCCTGAGTGTCACGCCAGACCTGCTAAACAGCACGACATGATGCGAGTTTTCTTTGCGATGATGATCCTAAAATGTCTTGGATGGCAAGCTCGATACTCGAGCTAATAATGGCGAATCAGACCATCACGGAGCACATGAGGCTGGGCAATCTCGAGTAACATTCTGTTACTTTTGAGTTGGTGGTGTGAAACGCTTGTCAGGCTGTGTTACTGATGTTTGGAAATGGTCAGTCTCCACAAAGTGCAACAAGGCGAATCTGGACGCATTTGCTCTGTTTGACTCCTTCACAATAAGCATGTGAATGCTGTTACATGTATCATGGTGTTCCGTCAAAATCTGTTGCAGTTTATCCTGTCAAGCATGTCCATCACCAGGAGAACAGATAAATCACCTCTCCTTCTAATGCTGCTATTGCTGCTGTTGCAACTACACAACCTCAATAAAGTCACGGAATGCTGGAAATGAAGTACCTGAACAGTCAAAACACTCTACTATATTAGTTGGCTATTGATATCACGTGGGAACAATTTTTGGTGGCTCCAAACACACTAATCTTTCAAAATTGTAAAAAAAAAGAACAATTCATTAACATGACTCCTGACTGTAAAATGCATTTCTACATGGTCAATATTGGTCTGATGGCCGTGAAACGAAGTCACAATACTCTACAAAGGCAAGACATGAATTTGCAATAAAAAAATCAATTTCACCAAAACAGCCCCGAAGGTCGATTTTCTCAGATATTGGGCCATTTCATGTCTCCCGCACATAGTTGTAGATATCGTCAAGACAACAGTACATCCTGCATTGTGTGACCCATGCAATTACTGCTTGCCACATTTGAGGCCAGAAAAGTCCAAGAACAGGGAAATAGAAATTCAGCCAGGTTTTACAAAATTAGGACAGATATGCCATGGCAAAATGTATGGAGAAGCAGATCCCAAACCCAGATTTTTTAGATTTAAAGTGGGGGTTTATCCTCCATTCGGCCCAAATCGGACTTTCGAAAGCCAGCGGGACTATTTCCGATGAATGGACTGTAGTGTACGATGTAACCAGTGGTTGTCATGGTGATTATCATTGTGCACAGGTACTACCGGGGGACACACGGTGTTATCGTAGTCTATGATGTCACCAGTGGCGATAGCTTTGTCAATGTCAAGCGATGGCTTAGCGAGATTGAGCAGAACTGTGACGTGGTCAACAGAGTCCTAGGTAAGTCAGTAGTCAGGTCCAGTGGAACATAGAGTCTTAGGTAAGTCAGTAGCCAGGTCCGGTGGAACCGGTCCGGTTGGTCAGGCCATGGCCGGACCAACTTTTTGTCCACTAACGTGTGTTTACTGCTGAGGAGGTCATGTGACTACCCCGCTACATATCATACACAAACTGTATGAAAGTCATGTGACTACCCCGCTACATATCATACACAAACTGTATGAAAGTCATGTGTATACCCCGCTACATATCATACACAAACTGTATGAAAGTCATGTGACTACCCCGCTACATATCATACACAAACTGTATGAAAGTCATGTGTATACCCCGCTACATATCATACACAAACTGTATGAAAGTCATGTGACTACCCCGCTACATATCATACACAAACTGTATGAAAGTCATGTGTATACCCCGCTACATATCATACACAAACTGTATGAAAGTCATGTGACTACCCCGCTACATATCATACACAAACTGTATGAAAGTCATGTGTATACCCCTCTACATATCATACACAAACTGTATGAAAGTCATGTGTATACCCCGCTCCATATCATACACAAACTGTATGAAAGTCATGTGACTACCCCGCTACATATCATACACAAACTGTATGAAAGTCATGTGTATACCCCGCTACATATCATACACAAACTGTATGAAAGTCATGTGACTACCCCGCCACATATCATACACAAACTGTATGAAAGTCATGTGTATACCCCTCTACATATCATACACAAACTGTATGAAAGTCATGTGTATACCCCGCTACATATCATACATAAACTGTATGAAAGTCATGTGACTACCCCGCTACATATCATACACAAACTCAGCCCTCACCAACGCTGTACAAAGCGTCACTGGCCCGTTTCTCAACGGTCGCGCTAATCGACCAATCAGCGTACAGCTAATGTACCAAAATTCTCAAACTTACCGTAATTCCTTGGTTCATACGGTGTAGTTTCCAAAGATTTTTTATGGACCAACGTCTTCTTTCGATAGATACCAACAGATCGTCCGCTTCGAATTTTTCGATTTGATTGCCGTTTGGCCGAAAATTACCTCAGAAACCGGCCTCCACTCGTTTCACTTCAAGGCTTTCCAGGTGGACGGCATCGCAATTCGGAAGCGGAGAAAAGATAGCCAGTGAAAAAAGAAAAACAACGACGTATTGGTTGTCAAAATCGACCAAGAAATGAATTCAATAGACCTGTTTCCGTGCTGCGCCCTCGCGGCCCGCGCGAGTGCGAAAGGGATTCTTTCTCAACAAAACAAACAACTACGCGCAGTACACAGGTACATGCAGGTGCTTTTTGCAGTGCAGTACACTGACATCACTGCACTGGCTGTATATACCTTAGGAATATCCTGTTCTTTTCCAAGGCATGATTGTCGCTAGTGGGAGAACTCAGCCACCTGAAGCTTTCATAAAGGAAGAAGTAGTAGGTGAATGAGTTCGCCAGAAAATGGAACGACAAGAAAATAGATACTGTTGCTTTCCGGGGCGCTCATGAGACGACGGGAAGATAGGACTGAAACGATCGACAGTCTGCCTCGACGCAAAAGAAACTCTTCTAGGAGAAGCTCGACGTGCTGTAGAGTTTGCAGTATTCTGCTGGAAGAAGACAAGAGAACTAAACTCAGACTACAACGTGGAGCTGAAGCACGAGCGAAGCAAAAGCTGAAGCAAAAGCTGAGCGAGTTCGAAGAAATGGGGAAACACGGGAAAATGAGTGGGCGACATGATCTTTAGCTCGAAGCTCGCGCTAAGACACGCGGTGGGCACGTGCGCCTTCGGGTAGCGCGGCCAGCCACCATGTTTTCAAAATGGAGGTCGACGCTTTTGAAATCCGTGTAGACGATGGTGAGGGCTGAAACTGTATGAAAGGCTAGGGTATGGTCGGACCCATAGAAAAACTGCTTCAGCCGGTCGTGATAGCCGAACTCCCTGTTGTCTATGTGGCATTGGTGCTGCTGGTACTGCTACATGCTGCTGATGGTGGTGGTGGTGGTGGTGGTGGTGCTGCTGCTGTTGGTGTTGCTGCCGTTGTGGTGGTGTTGCTGTTGCTGCCACTGTAGCGATGCTGGTGTTGCGGCTACTGCGGCATGTGTTGCTTCTGTGGGGTTGGTGAAGGTGGCGGTGGTATCCATGGTGCAGCTTCTGGTGATGTAATGCTCCCCATGCTGCGTCTGATTTTGGCTAGTGGTGGTGCTATTGCTGCTTGTAGTGTTGTTGCTGCTGCCACTGAAACAATGGCGAAAGCAATGTATCTTAGATTTCGTCCTGCTCCTGCGTGCTGACTCCCCCCCCCCTCTCTATCTCTGCTGTTCCTTGCTATTGTCTTTCCTCTGCAGTTGGTAACAAGAATGATTGTCCTGCGGAAAAGAAAGTTGTTGAGAAAGATGATGCACAGCGGTTTGCTGACCAAATGGGAATCAGACTTTGGGAGACTAGTGCAAAGGAGAATGCAAACGTGGAGGACGTGAGTAGCTTTGCAAGGCTTTTTGTTTATGTGTGTAGATATGTGTGGAGATATGTGTGTGTGTGTACGCGTGTGTTGGTGTGTGTGTATGTGTTTGTGTCCGTGCGGGTGTGTATGCGCGTGCACGGACAAGCACACATTCACGTGTGTGTGCACGCGCACGCTTGCTTATGCTTCCATTGCTACATCTCGCCATGCGGAGACCAGCTCAAACCTCTTGGCTGTAAGACGCCTGGAGTTGTTTGTGTCATTTTGTCTGATTGCATTGATGTCTTCTAGGATTAGGAGGCTAGTTTGCTTATGTCTACGTTGATGTTCGCCATCACCATTGCACTCTGTTGACGACCACGTACATACACTCACAGAGCGCAATGGTGCTGGGGAATGTCAATGCAGAAACTATCAACGGCCGAATGCTGCTGCTTTCCTCCTGGTTAGTTTGCTTGTTCAGGAGTGTCGGAAGGTATTGTAGTGTGGTACGGCCAGCCATCTTAAGTACTATTTACCCGTGGGGTAGGGATGGCTAAGCTGAAAATTTTGGAAATTTAGAACCCAGATCAGTGCCTTTATTAATTCACGGGGTACCTGCGGCAAAGAGTGGTAGGGTCAATACCGCAGTGACCGTACTGTGTCCGACGCCACTGTGAATAAGCTTATTTTTTCACGTACAACCCCTTGTTCACTTTGCAGGTGTTCCGAGAACTCACCAAGATGGTGCTGAAAACCAAGAGGGATTCCAATGCAGCGACAGGGGGTGGTGGCAGTGGTACTATCAAGGTACAGAGGTCGTCCGAGAGCAAGTCAAAGTGCTCATGTTAGTCGACGCGTCACAGCATGGGCGCGTGTTGGATATAGCTATACCGTTGTTGTTGTTGTTTTGTACAGCGTGTGTGTGTGAGTGAGGCATATTTGTGTTGATAGAAATTTGTGCTGTTGCTGAACTCTGCCGCTTCTACCGACCCTTCTCTTGTTTGCTAAGTCCCACCGCAGTACACGTGTGTACACCTGCACATTTGGTAGCGGCACGTGATATAGCACATCCCCGTTTCAATCCCCCCATTGCCCGTTTACAATGCGGTGAACACTGCGCGATCGAATGTGTCAGTGGCGGAGTGCGGGTGCAGCACACACAGGGCCGTCTTGGCGCATGCGTTGCGTAGTTGTTGTGCCGCTACCGAAGTTGATGATTTGTGACGCGACGGGCATGGATGTTATTCTGAACTACAGTAGTACTCGATGATGACAAAACGCAGTGCAGGAATACTTCTTACGATCAATATTGAACTCTTGTTTTGCATGTGCACACACACAAACACACACACACGCACTGCACTATGGACGCCTGAAAAAAACAATGATTACTTACGTTAGTGTTGCATCGAGTACTAGACGAATCAACCGTGCATGCGTTATTGGACATATTTACATTGATCATCCCCGACAATGGCTATTCCACAGTAAATTGTACTTGCACATATGCGCGTGGCTTTTTTTAACTTTTCAAATGACGTGCGTGTCTGTGTGAGCCTTAGAAACGCGTCTGTGCGAGTGTGTGTTTGTAGAGTGCGAAACAACAAGACAGCATCTCACAGTATTCAATATTATGCTTTTCCCGCCAACATTCCCACTCGCACTCAGCGCAACCCTGCGTGTTTTCTTGGTTTGCGGCATTTCTTTCCATGCACACGTTGACTACCACAGCAGCCAGCAACTGTGCACTATAACCTAGGCGAGTGTGTCGCTGCATGGTCGGTTGCAGCTGTGCTTGTTACCGTGGTTATCGTCCACCCAATCAGAACTATTCTAGCTATGTACATCAGCTCAGTGTTGTGTGCAATATATCATGCGGCATCTTTGCTTACTTTCAGACGGAGTTTCATTTTTCATTTTTGAATCCAGTACGTTTGTGTTGGCTTTTGGTTGTGTGTGCACGTGTGTGTGGTGTATGTGCAACTGTGATGCATGCATTGCCAATTTGGGAGAGGTGTGTGTGCGTGTGTGCGTACTATGGGTGCACCGAAGCATGGCTGTGAATGATAAGCGGATGACGGTGAGATGCCTGTGCCGTCCATCGGAGAGCCATGCATACATGCCACGACGCGGTTATGTGTAGTGCACCGTGATATTGCTGCGAGGCTGGCAACGAATGATTGGGAGTCTGGTCTGACTGGGCGCAATCGTGGGATTGACACACACACACTGCGATGAAACGAGCACAGGACGAATCACTACCCCCCCCCCCCCCCCCCGTCGGAACATGCAGCTGACCAGCAATGACCGATACGGTGCACCTATGATTAACTATTCATTTAAGCAAGAGATCTTCGGAGCTCGGCGCAAGACAGCGGACGTTGTGGACCTACCACCATCTGCGGAAGTAAGTTGTGGAAGGCTGGAAGCCTTGTTCCCACATAGAGAATGGACACTCATCGCGTGATTGTTCAGTATCCGTATACGATGAAAATGGAAAAGGTTTCTCTCTCTCTCTCTCTCTCTCTCTCTCTCTCTCTCTCTCACACACACACACACACACACACACACACACACACACACACACACACTCTCTCTCTCTCTCTCTCTCTCTCTCTCTCTCTCTCACACACACACACACACACACACTCTCTCTCACACACACACACACACACACACACACACACACACACACACACACACACCACACACACACACACACACACACACACACACACACACACACACACACACACACACACACACACACACACACACACACACACACACACTCTCTCTCTCTCTCTCTCTCTCTCTCTCTTTCTCTCTCTCTCTCTCCCTATGTATTAACGCGAAACCGTTTAGTGGGAGCAGGTGGACCTTCCAACTATAGCCTCAGAAAGTAGTCCTAGTATACGATCTATCCCCCCCCCCCCCCCCCCCGGCCCTTGACGTTTGCCATCTTGGCAACTAAGCGGCCCGCCCAGACTACACTATAGACTTAGTAACGGTCTGGTGTAGATCTACGCCTACGGTCCGGAGCCACGGAGTCTAGCTGCATGATGGCCAAGGCCAGACTACGATCAGTCGATCAAGCTCCTGTCCTGATTCCTGACTGAAACTACAATCTGACGTGACATCATTGAACTATTATTAATAATAATTAATAATGGTCAGCGCTTCACCGGGGTAATCCCCTCTTCGTTTCCCCTCGACCTCGGCCAGCGCAAACTGCTACTGTTGTACGCGCCATAATTTTTTGTCTTGCAGGAAACGCGACATGCGCCGAATGGCGTGACGAAGTAGAGCACAATCAGTCATGCAGACAGCAGAGTGTATCTACACTGTCTGTACATAATCATTAGTACAGCTACAGACCTGGTACAAGTGGTAGTCAGTGGTAGACCAGTTTCCTGCTCGTCTTCGTATCGCTCTTGCTCGCACAGTTCCTGACGTTCACAGCAGCTCATTTCTCTTTTTGCCTCCATTGCCAACTGCCGTAGCTACTATTATTATTCTTTTTCTCTTTCTTCCGCAACTTCTTCTATTACTAGAGTGACTTTCACGCTTGTGAAACAAGCCCAGAACTAACTGCCAAGAAGCCTATCTAACACCGGTCTCCCACAGCAATAATGCTAGTAGTAGTAGTAATTTGAAAACTCTATGAACTAAAAGACGACATTAATTTGTGAAAAGACGAATACTGCTGTACTTGTTCTAGCTGAGCAGCTGTCACTGCATGCAGTGACTATTGGCGTTTGGAGAACACTGCATTTACTTGCTGAAGCGGAACCGACGTCGCTTCTCCAGGCAGGCAGGCCAGCAGAGTTGAGCAGCTCGTCGCTCAACGCTAGTCCAGCTACTGCTGTGTGCGCTAGCAGTTCCGACTTCTGCTTATCCAGCGTCGTAGTGAGCGTGCACCTGACCTCTGGCTCTGCTGGACCCGCTACGCCCGTCGGCTCGTGCGTCACCAGACGAGTCGTTTCGCTATCAGGAGAAAGCAATCCGGACTAGTCAAATTATTTGCCGACCTAGCATTACATTACTACATTATCAAGCAAGTCGCCCGATAACGCTAGCTAGCGGTCGATAATCATACTATCGTAGTTGTCATCAGCCGGCGTTGAGGATCCTGCTTGCAGTGTGTGAGTGGGCTGTACTGTAGGGCACTTGTACGTATATACCGGTCCCTATCAAGTATTAGCAGCGTACTGTCTGTAGACCTAGTACCTGGTGGCTGGTGCAATCAGTGTACATGCTAATATTCATACAGAGCACAGAGTGCCAGAGCCGCTGTGCCAGAGCCGTGTATAGAAGCTACCGGCGGACCCGTTCCGAGCGTCCGTAATGAGAAGATGACACAGCTCTGGTTGGTGACGTAACTCGTTGACAGCGCATAGTTCCCACAGTATTAAACTGGGCATAGGTCCCGTGCCAAATATGTCGGCACAGCTCAAGCAATACGACCTTAAGTTCAAAGTGCACCTTCTGGGTGAGCAAGGTACGACGATCATTCACTGTCTATCATGTGTAAAATTTTATTTAGGGCATGTTCGATTGGTAAGGATCGGGATCCAGATCTCAGATCCCTCGGATCCTTCAGATTCAACTGAACACTTTATTTTGGACCTTGACTGTTGCCATGTTGAAAATGGCGCTCACAAGGCACCCAAAAGGGTGAACGTCGTACTCATCGCGTGCGTCGTACAAAAAGTCAACAAGCTCTATCTCCATCCACGTGTGCGTACCACAATGTGTACAAAAATGATTTTTACCCGCCATATACGCACAAAGGTCACATTTGGATCCGTTGGATCCGGTCAACCCTGCTCCCCGAGGTGGGTTGACCGGATCCAAATCCGAAGGATCCGGATCCGGATTCGACCAATCGAAAGGGTGCGAATCCAGTGGATCCGCTGGATCGGGATCTCGATCCTACCAATCGAGCATGCCCTTAGTGTACGGGAAAGCGTTGCAACACTCATCATGGAAAAAGAGTTTTAAAAACTTCACGGTTCGCATCCCGACTCGGCTAGAGGCCGAGTTTTCCGCATCCATAGGAATGCCACCACCCTTCAAGGATCGGAGTAAACTTGAGCTCAAATTGTTTCAGCCCATCACGCGACCGTCGCGCAAAGCGTTCCCGTACGCGCACTGATGTACATATCACGATTACATGATGTAATGCACGCTAGCCCACGTGCGCTAGATACATGCTATGTCTAACAGGAAGCACATTTTCCACCCAGCCCCCTCCTCTGCCATACTCTTTGTCACACATTCTATTCTTCCACACAGGTGAGTCGTGCAGTGTTTCTAACCCTATGTTCGCCGCCCAATCATCCTTCCTCCCATTGAGAAGGATTAGCAAACAGAATTCGCACATGCATGCCATGTCGTACATTGTGTGCAGACAGTACAACGTAGTAAATTGATTACTGTCCTGACACGAATCCGCGATTCGTGTCAGGACTACTTTTGCGAACGAAAAATGCGAAAGTTCGCAATCAGAAAAAATGTTTGCGAACATGAACGCGGTCTTGCTAATCCTCTGTATTATGCTCTTTTTTGTGTGCTTGCATGCCTGGCTGTGCCCCTGCTGTTCCCGCGGTGACAGCGGTTGGCAAGACGAGTCTGCTGCTCCGCTACGCCGAAAAGCGGTTCTACAGTAAGTGGTGTAGCGTACTGTCGGGCGCCGAAGAGCCAATGGGCTGGACTCTTTCATCACCAAGCACAGCATACCAATGTCTACACGGTGACTCAACTGTGCATAGACTGTAGCACATGAAAATAAGAATGACCTAGGCTACGAGGCTGCCCCCCCCCCCCCCCCCGGCCCCCCCCCCCCGGCCCCCCCCCCCCCCCCCGGCCCCCCCCCCCCCAACTCATAATACTGTACTATGTGTCATTACAGGGTGTTTCAGGGGAAGTGGCGTAATGGCCTGAAATCAAGTCACTGCTCGTAGTCTTCTGGGTGCACGTAGTCTTCTGGGTGCTCAGTCGAGTGGTCTGGTGCGAGGAAGCTGAGACACTCCCTTTGTCCTCTTTTTCCAATCGAACTCGCATGCTTCCCCCGAAACCGGTTTGATGGGTCCCTACTACAGGGCTCGCAACTGAAATCCGACCCCTGAGCGGTGCGGTGCGCTAACATTGCAAAGGCCCAACACAGGATTGTACCTCTACGAAGTAGAGGCCGCTAGAATGTGAACGCACCGCTCAGGGGGTCGGATTTCAATTGCCAGCACCGTAGTTGCTACGGATGTGCTCGGTGAAATGCGACCCAGAGTGCACATTTTGCACGGCCCTTGACGCCCAGGAAGTGGCACGAAAACGGCTGGACGTAGTACGCATGTACAAACATTAATGCAATGATGAAATCGGAACTGGTCCAGGGCACCAGTGTTGCACTTTGGGTCGGATTTCACCGAGGGCAACTGTACGAGGTGAATTGCTATTTCTGGACATTGTACCTTTCTGGACATTTCGAGTAAAATAATTTTTCGTCGCATGTAGAGTCAAGTCAGTCAGGTTGATGAAGTTTTTTCTTGTTGTAGTTGACAGCTTGGCTGTTGTAGTTTCTCCTCGTGTCGGTGCCTTGTTGATAGCCTTTTCTTGGGAGGCATTTCAACGAGTTTTGTGGTACTATGTCGCATGAGAATTTTGAATTTTGAGTAAAATAAGAAGTAATGGACGAATCGTTGGCATCCCCATGTGCACTCCACCTCAGACGCTGTATAGTCTTGGACCTGTTGGCTGGAAGTGTGAAGAGGCCAACTGCAGTCCACCAATAGAAAAAATAACAAAACTGATGCAGTATAGGATGCCTATTGACGCTATTTTACTTTCATGTCCAGAATTCCATACACTGAATTTTAGGCCAAAAAATTGGCCTGTCGTAAACATCCTGCTATAAAGTCTCTGGGATCACAGC